GCACATACCCTGTCATTGCTGAAAAGCACTTTCAAGTATCTCTCCATGCTAAACCAGGAGCACTGTCAGAAAAGAAAATGTTGTTTTATCATGTAAATTTGAACGGTATTTTAGCACTGCTTCACTGTCTATACTTTTGACTCAGTGTTACATGCACCAGTGGCCTATAAGGTAACTGTGATGGCATATGTTGTCAACTCCATTTTGTTTAGGCCAGCTGAAGATGTGAATTCATTTCATGAGTTTCATTTTATTTAGAAACCATCATGGGCATTTCCTCCTTTGGCTGAACTGAAATGAAATTGACCTCAACTCAACTGTGATGTTTAGACTCAAGACTGATCTACCTCAGTGAGATGCACACTGTGCACAGCTGTACTGTACCTTTAGTATGAAATGTAAAGTTTCATTGGTGTTTTACATCTTTAAAATTCCAAGCATTGGCATTTTTGGGTTCCAAGGACTGATTGTTTTCATTAACATTCTGAAAGCAAGGGTGAGTGAGAGATTAAGGTGTATTCGGAAAGAAACAATGTTAAGGAAGAATTAAGAAATAAAGCATCTTGTAGAATTTGAGTTTCTTGTTTCATTCATCATTTACTGTCAGTAAAACAATGATAGTTTGTTTTTGGCAAGGCCACTAGAATGTAAGTTATTCATTCATATTAATGCAATAGGCTACTGAAAATCATTAAGATGTTAAGTACTTAATGAATTAAAAGATAAAATTATAGTTATTACAATAAATTATATAAAAGATAAATACAAACATTCATTTACAGGTGTTTTTATAATTTTATTAAATATTTAATTTTTGTAATAGTTTTATCAACTGAACCAAGTGTATCATTTTATTTACAAAATACAATCATGTACTTTACAAAGACGTTAATATTGTGATTTATACTATTAAGACAAAAAGGTTTCGCGTATTAATAATTGTAAACCAGTTTAGCTACAACAGGCATTAAAGATTATAAAAGTCAATCGGGTGTTCATGACTGCGCCACTTTTCCCTACTTTATTTCCACTTTACATACAAAACAAGACGGAAATCTGTTTCCAAACAAAACGAGAGAAAAACATTTTACGTTCAGGCATATACAAGGGCAGCTAATTCTCAGCCAAACAGGAAGTGGAACAGTTGTGAAGAAGGACCCTATTAATAATTAGGGAACTGGCGAAATATTGGAATTTAGTTGATTATTCGCTCAATGAGTAGTGTCCATTTACTAAAGTAGTAACTGATTTATTCCCATAGTCAGTTTGGGTCGCTTGTCAGTTTCAGTCTGGCTGAACTGGCTCGAGATGGCAGACGAGGCTCTCTTTCAGTTCCTGCACAGTGAAATTATTCAATATGTCAACAGTGCAGAATCTGGGGAATCGGTAAGAGCCGGAGATATACTGAAAACACTGTCTGTCCCAGAATAGTAGAATAGCGTATAGAGCTAAATTAGCCAAGCACACTAATAAAACAGTGAGAATATGGCATGTTGAATTAATGTAGTGTACTGCTGTGCACAGGAGAATGGACGATGTGTCTCTAAACTTGAGAGCATGGGGTTTCGTGTGGGACAAGGACTTATTGAGAGGTATCATGGCGGATCTTTTCATCCATAAATCCAAATTTTATTCTGTAGTCAAGCAGATCCTCTGATGACATCCTATAATCTGATGTTATGCTTGTTGCAGTTTTAATTGTGGTTTTGCAGATTGTCCGTGGAAAATCCAAATTTAACTTTAAATGGTTTTTAATTCATGTTGCTGAAAAATGTAAAAGACCATTTAAATAGTAGTAGAAATAAATAGCCATTTGTTCTTGTCTCAGCAGGCATATTTCTGTTTGCAGGTTTACCAAAGACACACCACGTTTCAAAGATGAGCTTGATGTTATGAAGTTTATCTGCAAAGATTTCTGGACCAGTGTTTTTAAGAAGCAGATTGACAACCTGAGAACAAACCACCAGGTGTGTACATTATAATGTTACTTTAAGCTTTATGGCATCTTAACTCATACATTTTAGTGAATCTCTTCATTGACTAGAGGTGCTTATTTAGAAAATCATCACGTTCAAATTGTTTGTAGGGTATTTATGTGCTACAAGATAACAAGTTCCACCTGCTGACCCAACTGTCTGCTGGAAAACAGTATTTGGAACATGCGCCAAAGGTAAGCAGCATAAACAGCTTCAATAAGCTTTAATTGTGCGTTGAATAAAAACATAAAACATCTTTTAAATTGAAATTGCAAATCAATATCTTGTCATTTATTTTTCCTTGAAAATAGCATAATGAGATATGTAGTACTTAAATTTGTTTACAAGAATATTATATCTACAGATGGGGAAGAAGGAATATATAATATTTAATAAAATTGCAATTAAAGGGATAGTCACCCAAAAATGAAAATTTTATCATCATTTACTCACCCTCATGTCGTTCCAAACCCATAAGACTTTTGTTCATCTTCAGAACACAAATTAAGATATTTTTAATGAAATCTGAGAGATTTCTGTCCCTCCATTGACAGTCTACACAACTACCACTTTGATGCTTCATAAAGCTCATAAAGAGATCGTCAAACTAATTTTTCTCTCTCATTTTTTCATTCCTGCAGTTTTTAGCCTTCACCTGTGGACTGGTCCGAGGAGCACTTTCAAACCTTGGTGTGAAAAGTATAGTCACGGCGGAAGTGTCAGTCATGCCTGCCTGTAAGGAGCAAATTTTATGCCAAAAAGTATACAAAATAACCACTAGATTTTCTGTACTTTTTTTCGTGATCTTAATCTGAAATTGAGCATCAGCGAAGTTAGTTCTCTTGAGTCTGAGCTCATCAAGTTCTAATTAAATGTTAAAAGTAACAAATTTTTTGTTTCTTGTCTCCTGTCATCCCTCCTCTTCTGCACTTTCGTTCTTCTTAGGTAAATTCCAGGTGATGATCCAGAAGATGTAATTCACTACACAGGAGCGTATTGCTCAACATGTGCATCTTAGTTTTACTGCCTTGTCATTTTTTATGGCCTTGCCCATTTTATTGTCACTATGATTGTTTTTTATTTGCATTAGCTTGCAAACTACTGGCATTAAAAGTGTTTTGACATGCAAATGTCAAGCCTTATTGTACTGTATTCTTCAGAACACAAATTAAGATATTTTTAATGAAATCTGAGAGATTTCTGTCCCTCCATTGACAGTCTACACAACTACCACTTTGATGCTTCATAAAGCTCATAAAGAGATCGTCAAACTAATTTTTCTCTCTCATTTTTTCATTCCTGCAGTTTTTAGCCTTCACCTGTGGACTGGTCCGAGGAGCACTTTCAAACCTTGGTGTGAAAAGTATAGTCACGGCGGAAGTGTCAGTCATGCCTGCCTGTAAGGAGCAAATTTTATGCCAAAAAGTATACAAAATAACCACTAGATTTTCTGTACTTTTTTTCGTGATCTTAATCTGAAATTGAGCATCAGCGAAGTTAGTTCTCTTGAGTCTGAGCTCATCAAGTTCTAATTAAATGTTAAAAGTAACAAATTTTTTGTTTCTTGTCTCCTGTCATCCCTCCTCTTCTGCACTTTCGTTCTTCTTAGGTAAATTCCAGGTGATGATCCAGAAGATGTAATTCACTACACAGGAGCGTATTGCTCAACATGTGCATCTTAGTTTTACTGCCTTGTCATTTTTTATGGCCTTGCCCATTTTATTGTCACTATGATTGTTTTTTATTTGCATTAGCTTGCAAACTACTGGCATTAAAAGTGTTTTGACATGCAAATGTCAAGCCTTATTGTACTGTATTGTGTTAGTATTTTGACATTCATTATTCTCTATCCACATTCACTGTTTTGATTATTAATTTGCACTGATGACATTAAAGCTGGGATCCTAGTATGAATTTGTTTTTAATTAAAATTATTTTTTTTCATGAATTTTTAATGAGTTTAAAGAATATTGAGAATTAATCCATTTAATACCACTGCTCACAATAGTGCCCGTAAGAAGGTTTTTATTTATAAAGCTCTAAAAATGTTACTGACTGGTGTTTTAGTGAATTTCCTGCTAATATGGAAAAAAATAAAGGGTCAATTAAATATGTGCAGTGTCACATTTGTCACATGACCAGAGTATTTAATGTTTGCGCCATGAGAAGATGATGGCTGCATCAAAGCGCCAAAACAAAAGACTAGTAAAGTAACTTAACATAAAGAAATGACAAAGATTTTTGGTACGTGTTATCTTTAAGGTGTCTAGCATTAATATATGAATTCACAATTATTCAGTTTTGTTGAGTGTGGTCATAGAATGAGTAAACATGTTGATGGCAACAATTGTGACCGGTGGGATAACAGTGCATTTAGGTATACACACATCCAATTGCATTTGTTAGTGAAGGCTGCACTAAAATGTTGCAATGACAAAGTTACAGTGAATATTGCACTAAAGTAAAAGTTCAAATGTTACAATATTGATGTTGTAATACTGGTAGCACTAATATAACAATTTTATGATATACAGTATGTTACAATAAAGTAAAATAAAAAAAATAAAAAATGTTCACACTTTAAAATTTTTTTTATTATTATTATTGATTATTTCAACGGGTTACTAATGACACATCATTTGGTTAATTTTCGTGGCTGGGAAAAAATTTGGAATTGAACGGGTTAAGATTATTGTATGAAAATATAACTGATCAAAAAAAGATCGCTTTATGAAACAGTAGAATATTTAATTTATTTAAACTAACAGTCAGTTTTTAAATGTCCTGCTGTTATGCATATTGTGCTTTCAGCTAATCACGTGGTTAATGCGTCACAAACGCAGAGCTAATAGGAAACGAGACGCGCCGCGTTGAGCCCTCTGATTGGCTGATTCGTAAACGCAGTTCTAACGGCACCAACATTCAAACTTCTAGCATTCGCGTCGGGTTGTTTGTGGCAGGAGGGTACGAGCGTCTGCTGATTAAACATTTTACTGTCTTTTTTCAGCCTTTCAGGTTGTGGTAGGAGGCATTGGTTTGAAGCGTAAGTATGGGTTTTACACATTTTTAAACAATATCATATTTTGACTTTGACTGCTGCGTTTAAATTAAGCTTTAATTGGTGCGTTTGTATTGGGCCGTAACAGTTAGTCGTTGCAAGACAAACTTTTAATGTTCAATGTAACGTTAATAGACCGACAGATTTCAAAGTTTGTTTGTTTGTTTGTTTTTTGCTCAATTGATTATTGTGATCTTAAATTATGTGAAGATGTTATTTAGGTTTCGTTTGTTTACATTTTCCCCTTTGTTCGTAATTATGAGTAATGAGAGATCTAGGCGGATATTTCATATGAACTGACTCTTAAATTATCGGTCTGAAATTTTAAGGTATTTTATAATATTGGTACACTATACGTAAATTAATCGTATAATCCATAATTGTTGGATAAATCGAGCGTTTTGGGCATTTTATTGCAGTTTGGGCCTTGAGTCTAAGATTAGCCAATAGCTGCCATTTTGCGCCGCACTGCGCAGGTAATGTAATTTTCTGCTTTACTATTACAGCATTGTTACAGATTCCGTTTGAACTCTTTAAAGCCTTTTTCTTTTTTGATTTTGCAGAAGTTTCCTGTGTGAATATGGAAGGGGACTCTGCTGATGCATACAGATGGGATGCCCCTTCTCATGTTATGGAGTCTATAGATGATTTTGCCCTGGACCCTCAGGATAATGCTGACCAGTGGTTTGGTAAGGCTTTTTACTCTTTATGCTTATAATATACTTATTTTTGTTTTTATTTTATATACATTTATGTATAAAAAATATTCGTATGTGTGCGTATATATAATTTAATAATTCATTTAAATAATTTATGCATTTAGCAGATGCAAAGCCACTTGCAGTGCATTCAGGCTATACATTTTTTACCAGTATGTGTGTTCCCTGGGAATTGAACCCACGACCTTTTGCGCTGCTAACGCAATGCTCTACCACTGAGCCACAGGAATATCAACTATCTTTGTTGTGTTTTACTATTAGAGTTGAAGGCAACTCCTAAAAGTGGCACTGTGGAACAGCTCACCACCCCTTTACGGACCGTAAAGCCATTTGATGAAATCCCCAATACCAACAGACCCAACGCTGTGGTGTCTCCCCTGGTCAAACAAGATGAGACAACAAGCTCAGGTTAGGGAAAAACTGCTTCAATTAGAAAACTCTTAGGAACAACTTCAGTGATGTTTGTTTTGCACGTGTGTTCTTAATATCTACTCTGCTTCAGATGTCAAAGAAAGCACCTGTACAGAGGTCCCATCTAACGTAGTCACATCATGGGGGAACGTCAGAACTGCAGCTGCTCCTGGTCAGGGCCAGAAATCTGTTCCTGCTCAACCACGCAGGTAAATGAGACCTTATTCGTTATTTTTATACACCCTATTAAACAGTCCATTTTTGTTACTCTCTTCTTACATCGGTTAACTGTTTTGTTTCTTCCTGCAGAGTGTCCAAACGGCCTGTGCCTAGAAACGAAAAGCCTACAACACCCCCTCTTGTCAAGAAAAGAAGGTATGTGCTTCTAAATTTAGATCTGTTTTTAGTCTATTACGGGGTGCTCAATTAGCCACTTTGTCTCGATGCATAGAGTTGTACCTGCTACCACAGCAAGGAGAGTTTTTGATCAGCGGCGAAGGTAAAATGAACTGAGAAATGCGTTTGCTAAGCTGTGGAGGGCACCTAGTGGGCATTTAGTAGACTTCACTGGTGAAGTGGCTTGTAATTAGGGTTGGGTACCGAACTCTGTACTTTTAAGGGTACTGACCGAATTGCGTCGGTACTACTGAGTACCGATTCACGTTAAATCAATCGGTGCCAAGTTTCGGTACCTGAGACCGTATCTGGGCGCATACACTACAGAGAGAGAGAGAGACCCTGTGACGTGATGTCACCCCTGCAACTCGTTCAAACAACATGCAGGGCAAGCCGAAATGTTCTGAAGTGTGGTTACATTTCTAGGGCCATATGGTTTCTGCGAAAACGTGGATGGGATCGTGGAGTCCAATCATTCATAAAAACGTAATTTACTCTATAGCGTGGAATTCGTCAATTTTGGACGAATAAATCAAAAGTAGGCACTGCCACTTAATTCGAATCACGATATGAACTAGTGTCTGTGAATATTAAAATGCAAAAAGATGGTTTAAATATGAATCCTGCATGTTCCGCTTGCCTCTGTATGCATGAATGGCGGAAACGTGGTTTTGTTTACTACACAAATACTGAAGCACGCGTGGCGCTTGCGGTGATTTTCGGCCTCTGCGTCTCACTATATGACGGCATGAACACAAACTAAATCTCCAGAGCTGCTGTGAGAGTCACTTAGCGAGAATTTTACGGTTTCATTTGAGAAAACTAGCATCATCATACTGTATACACACAGAAACTTCATGGCAACCTGTCAAAATAAAAGTACGGTTTAACATGTAACAGAAATATATTACTCTTGTATTACTGAAAGAAAGTTTGTAGAGCCCCATTTTTGAAAATGTTAAAATTGAGACTTTCGGACTTATTTTTTCACTGAAATGTTTTTGTAATTACACCGAGAGTAAAGTACCGAAAAAAGGTACAGTTGGGTACTGGCACCGAAAATCAAGTACCGGTACCGTACCGGTTAAAATGTGAATGGTACCCAACCCTACTTGTAATGTGGGATGTTACTCGAAAATTAAGAATATTGTATGATTTTTATAATAAAATTTTGGTTTATCTCCTCACAGAAGCTCAACATCCAGAACTGTGCGACGCAGTGGTGCTGGTGCGAGGAGCAGTGTCCGGCTGAGAAGCAAACCAGCCATTGCCTCAAAGACCTCAGATACCGCCTCTGCCTCCAACACTACACAGTAAGTGAAACTCTTATTAGTCTGAATAGTCAGCAAAGTCAAACTACACTACTGTTCAAAAGTTTGGGTTAAGGTGGTGGTGTTGTAGTGTGTAGTGTTTTTTTTATTTTTTTTAAGAAATGATCTTAAATTAGCAGAGATGCATTGAATTGATCAAAAGTAACAGCAAAGACTTCTATGATGTTAATAAATAACATTAATAATAAGAACAAATATTTCTTGAGAAAATCAACACATTAGGGCCTTTCGCACCGCTTTAGTTCCAGAACTAAATGTACAGTACTAAAGTACTGGGACGATTTTGCGCGAACTATTTCCCAGTACCATTTAAAGGGTTGCATTCGCACCGAGAGTGTGTACTAAGAAGTGACATAAGCCGGTCGACAGCGTCGTCATTTGTGCGCGGCATTCATCAACAGAAACAAATAAGAACAACATTAACAACAGGAGGATGGAAGACGCTGTGATCGGAGCTGTGTTTTTGTTGTGTCTCGCAGGTTTCCAACATTGATAACGATAAGTAATATTTCTTGCACACCAAATCAGCATAGAATAATTTTCTGAAGGATCATGTGACACTGAAGACTGGCATAATGGCTTCTGAAAATTCAGCTGTGCCATCCCAGGAATAAATTACAATTTAACAAAAAAAAAAACTTTTTAGATTGTAGTAATTTTTCACAAAAGTAATGTTTTACTGTAATTATAAAATCAGCATAAAAGACTTTTCAAAACATGAAATCATACAACTTCAAACCTTTGCTGGTGAACTCTTGACTGTCTATTTTTGATATTGGTAAAGAACTGGAGCTCCCCCTTGTGTCTTGCCAGTTGCTTTAACTTCAATTTATCAGAAGGGTTTAATATTAAAGAATTAAATTATATATGCTGTCTTTGAATTTCAGACAGAAAAGCACCGAACAGCAAGAGCTGGAACGCATCGAGGCACTGCAGAAAGAGGTGGCAGAACAGCGTCGGAAGAACGAGGCCAGCTACAGGGCTGCACTGGCAGGCAGTGAGTCAATGGCAAACTATCTACTTTTTTTATTTTTAAATACTATTTTTTTTAGTTTTTTTTTAATGTTTTTAATTGGCTGTTCTTGTGTTGTTTTAAAGGTCAGCTTCCTAAGAAGCATGTGCTGTCCACCACCATTCCCAAAGAGTTCAACTTCCGCTCGGATAGCAGGCTGAAGAACCACATGGATGGAGGCTCTGCAGAAGACAACTCGTACAAGGAGGTGAACTACACCTCTCAGCTCCGCAAGCACCCATCTTCCCCTGTGAGTACAGTCACTAGGATGAGTAGTTGGATTCTTTTTGAAGCTGCTTGTTGATTTGAATGTTGTCTCATTCTGTAGTTGAAGGCTCCAAAGGGAACAACCATTCCCAAACCCTTCAACCTCTCCAGAGGCAAGAGGAAGCTTGATGAGGCAGGAGCCTATGTGCCGATGGCCCAGCAGATTGAGCAGTTTCAGAAACGCACTCCCACCCGCTATCACCTGCGCAGTCGGCAGAGCCAGGAAAGAGGTGCGTCTGCTCTCAGACCCTGTTTCTGGTGTCTTTGTGGCCTTGAATGTTGTTAGGATTGCATTCTTGTGTGATGCTGTTAAAACATTTATTCACCCTCGGGTAGTTCTGGAACCGTATGATTTTTTTTCAGTGGGATGGATACATGATCCATTTAATTTTTTATATTTTCATTCATTTTTATTTCCTCTGAAATATGATGAGTAATTTACCCTCTAGGCTTCTTTTGACAAATTTTGCCTGTGTTTTATTTGCAGGACCATCACCAGTGAAGGCTGAGAAGTCAAAAATCACACACCCCAAAACACCACAGCTACTGACTCGCCAGAGACATCGTCCCACAATGGTGAAAAGCACTGCAGAAATTGAGGCTGAGGAAGCAGAAAAAATGCAGCAGTAAGTTTTGCTGAGACGTGTGTGTGTTATTGCTTAATTTTAATTGAGCACAAGAAAATCTCTTCAAACTTTCCTTCTGCCATCTCAGGTTTAAGTTCAAAGCTCTAGAACTCAACAGAAAGATTCTAGAAGGGGCTTTGGTTCCTAAAAAGCCAGGCAGTAAAGAAGTTACCAAGCCTGAGGGCTTCCAGCTGGAGATCGAGAAGCGACTTCAGGAGCGGCAGGCCAGTAAGAAGCCTGAGGAAAAAGAGGACCACACATTCCATCCCAGACCGCTACCAACTCGAATTCTGGAGGAAGTTGTGGTTAGTAACAGTTCTCTCAACCCCTTTTTTGGATTTGTTTAGCCAAGGTGGTGACGTCCTTTTTATAATTCCATTGTTCCCTTTTTTTTTTTTTTTTCACCGTAAAGGGTGTCCCAGAGAAGAAAGTTCAAAATCCAACTGTTCCAGAATCACCTGCATTTGCTCTTAAAAACCGTGTGCGAATGGAAAAGAAAAAAGAGGTACATTTTAATCCTGTGCTTTTTTTATTTAAAATATCAGAAAAATGATATTTGTTGACTCAACTAATTCCATTGCACCTTCAGGAGAAGCCTCCTGCTCCAATTAAGGCACATGCTGTGCCCCACTTCCTGCCCTTCCAGCCCAAACTGCCAGTCAAGAGCCAGGTAGAAATGTGCCCTTTCTCATTTGAGGAACGTGAGCGTGAACGAAGGGTCATGAAGGAGAAGAAACTGGATGAAATGAGAAATGAAGAGGTATTTTCTTTATAGAGTAGCTGAAAGTCTTATTGATCTTCATTTCATAATGGTGCCTAAATGGACTGTCTCACCAAATCTCACAGCTACCCAAGTTCAAGGCCCAACCCCTTCCTGACTTCCATGAAGTGCACCTCCCTGAGAAAAAGGTAGTAGAGCCCACCAAACCTGCTCCTTTCAAGCTGATGGTTGACGAACGAGGAGCGGCAAAGGGTGACCACTGGGAGCAGATGGTAAGATCTTCATCTGAGCCTTTCCTCTTCATCCTCCATGGATCATCTGTTGTTAAAATTACGTTCTACTGGACCACACATGTCCAGTGTGCTGGCTTAGCATTTGTGTTTGCATACTTGCAACTAGTTAGCCAGTGGAACTCACTTTTAAATCTGTGTCTCTGCATTTGTGACATTGTTTACAATCTCTGTTGTAACTGGTACATTCCATTTAAAATGTTTCTCCAGATGAAAGAGGAGTTGAAACGACAGGCTGAAGCCGCATGTTTTAAGGCACGACCAAACAATGTAATGCACAAAGAACCATTTGTACCGAAAAAGGAGAATCGCTCCATCTTGGGTATGTTGTTGTAGGTGGCAGGTGGTTTTTGTAATCTTTCCAATTAGTGTTGCGCTACACATGTTGTACTGTCTCCAGTTTGAACTTCCTTGGGCTTGCTGGCTTTGTGTGAGTTTTATGTTGAAGTGCACAGCTAACTCCAAAACCAACTCTCGCTTCCTTCCAATTTTCACCGCTGTCCTCACTGCTCTCACCTCTACGTGACCACTTCATCTGGTCCTCTTTATTCACCTTTGGCACTTTCTTAAGCCAATTCTACTAATTCTGCAGTTCCAGATGGCTTCCAGTTGGCCACAGAACGGAGAGCCAAGGAACGAATGGATTTTGAAAAGGAGTTGAGTGAGAAGGAGGCACTGAGGGCTCGTATGGAAGAGGAGCAGGCCAGAGAACAAGAGGAGCAGCAAAAGGAGGAGACTGTAAGGCTACGGCAGGAACAGGTAAGAGATTTCAGAATGATGTTGCTTATCCTCCCAGGCCTGGAAAGTTGTGAAAATTAGGATCAAGTAGTCTAAAATATTTATCTGCACTTACAAAAAAATTCAATTTATTATTTTATATTTCATCACTTCAGTGAAAATTAATTGGCTGATTTATATTGTAACTAATTCTGTCCTTTCTTTTTCAAAAGGTGTGCAAGGCCCAGCCGATCAGACGCTACAAGCCAATGGAGTTGAAAAAAAGTGAAGTGTCTCTCACAGTGCCCCAATCTCCAAACTTTTCAGATCGTTTCCGCATGTAAATGCGTAACGCACTGTTACATTGACTTAATTCTACATGATTCTCTTAATGTGTTTTACTATTTCTTGTTTTATATCTTTCTATGATGTCTGAAAATTTAGACTAACTTTTATCTGTCTGTGGCTGATGCATTAGGCCTTTGTGGTCAAGTAAACAATTTTACAGTTGGGTGTGATGACTCCCTCAGCTAAATTTCTGTTCAAACTCTCCTGTATATGAAGACTTGTTCTTTGTTCTTTTTTTTTTTTTTACAGTTCTTCTATTTCTCGCAATAAAGAAACTTTTAGTATAAAGGCTTTGTTTAATGACTGTTGTGGCTGAACAAGGGCTGGGCGGTATGATGGTATATAGCGTTACCGTGAAATAAAGTGTCTATCGTTAGAGATTTTGCTATATCGTGTTTTCAGCGGTATGCAAATATATCTGCGTAGCATACTGCTTAAACGTTATATTCACCTTTGAGTGATAAGGAAACATGCATGATTCATGAGAAAATAGTAACGCACTTGGAGTTAAGTGCAATATGCAATGGAAAAAGAACTGAATGCGGTGCTCACACTGACTGTCAGCCGAAGCGCGCGCACTGAAAGCCCCTCAGACAGCATGCGATCGCGAAAGCAGATCTCTTTCCTGTTTTATTGTGCTTGAATGGTCAAATATGCACACAGTTATGTCATAATGCCTGTCGTGTGGAATATTCCCGTAAACACAGTCGGTTATGTGTTAAATAAATGTAAACAGTTGGTTGAAAGCCGGATGTGTTTCAGTATATTGGATTGGTCTTAAAGGGACAGCAGCCTTATTTACCTGCTGCTGTCTGTCATTATTAAAGGGGTCCTATTATGCGTTTTCAACTTTAGTTAGTCTGTAATGTTGCTGTTTGAGCATAAAAAAATATCTGCAAAGTTACAAAGCTCAAAGTCCAATTCAAAAGGAGATATTTTAACAAATCACTTTTCAAAAACTACAACGAACGAGTCTGGACTACAACGCATATTTTCCGGGATTTGTGATATCACAAATACCGACGAATGGGACGAGACCTGGTTGAGCTAAGTAATAGGAAAATTTTTAAATTAAAAGTTATTTCATATTTGTTTGTTCTGTTGTGCTTGTAGTTTGCTTCTTTTTCTTAAATTTAATAACAAATAAAATAAAAATAGCTATAACGAGGTATATATCGTTATTGTGAAATAAAATGTCTCATACCGTGAAATAAGATTTTGGTCATATGGCCCACTCCTACACTGTAAAAAAAATCTGTGACATTTACGGTAAAATACCGGCAGCTGTGATAAACAAACACTAAACCCCATCATGGTGACACACGATACTGAAATAATGCAATAAACATTAATTTAACAACATTAGATGTAAGATTAAACCCTAATGTACACAACTGATAAGAAAAAACTAAGAAACATGTTATTTCAACAAAAAAACATCAAATATGAAGTGTCATGCAGGGAATTCTGGGAGTGTCAATTTGTGGTTTTCCACTGTAAATTATACAATGACTTTTTCTTTTTCACTTCCAAAAACCGTATTTTTAACAGTATTTTACTGTGAAAACATTAAATGTAATTACATTCATTCACCGTATATATAGTATGGAAACTCACTGTTAAAATCACAATAATTTTTTACAGTGTAGGCAGAACTTAAATGGGACCATTCAGCTTATTAAATCTATATATTTCTGTCTTAATTTGGTAGAATACCATCCATAAGGGCTCAACCGTCTTGATTCTTGCACTTTCTAGTTATTAGTAACTTTACTTAATACTTGTCATGCAAAGTTTTATTCTTGTTTCAATATGTAATTTATATGTAAGTTAAGTAAAGGGCAGAAATTTTATTCCATTAAAGCTGCATGACTGTCAGCAGTGCATGGTTGAACACTAGAGGTACGTGTCTCACATTCGTTAAGCTCATGCTTTGCTGTCTCTACTTTTTTTGTCTTGGAAAGACTTTGTGCCCCCTCCCCAGGGCCAGCTCTGCGTGCCTCTATTATCAGTTTACTGTTTGTGAACCCCCATCTCTGGCCTGCCTATTTCTGGTGAGGTGGTCACGGAGTGATAAAAGAGGAATCTGACAGACTGGTATTCTGTGAGCTTCCACAAAACACCAGAGAACAGTCTGTTCAAACCCTTGGCGGAAAACACATGTACTTAAACTGGTCAAACATCTTTACAGGTGGGTGTGAAGTTTTTTGAGAATTTATTGTAAAATATCTTATTTGGAGTTGAATCTGAAGACATTATTAAGATGAATCTTTCAGTTATGCTGGAGGATAGCTATGCTTTATTTAATACTGTACTTTTCCACTTTTTTGACTTACTGTATGTGTATATCTGTAGTTACAGAAAACATATGGGATATTTTTACTTTTAAAAAGATCATTTGTCATACTGCAGGACTTTAAATGAAAAAAACGGTACAGCTAAAAATATTTAAATATTAGGGTTTTCAATAATTGTAATACTAGTAATTTAATGTCATCTATTTAATTGTAATATTGTTAACTTGGTTATTAATTACATAGGTAATTGTATTAATTTAACGTTAAATAAAAGCTTAAAGGTCCTTTTTATTTGACAGCTGTGCGTGCAAAACTTTGTCTACCTGTGTTTTATTTTGGGAATAAAATAAAATAAAATGTTTAACCAGTCTTAGATCTATTTCTCTATTTTTTTTTTTTAATGGGGATAATTTGGGTTCTTTTCAACTGGTTATGCTGGGAGACCATCTTAAACCTAAGACCAGCAAACCAACTTAGTCTGGTTTAAGTGGATTTATTTCAGCAGGGTTTCTATTAAAAACTTGGAAGTAACAACAATGACGTTCACTGTGTGTGTAAATCTATTGGCCTAATTGTAATTTTGACCTCAAAAAGACCTTGTCTTCAATACCTCTATTTATTCCCCATCTCTCTAGCACAGCCTTCCTTCAATGTCTTTCAAGGGCTCTATGAAATGCCCTGTGCCTCCGTCCAGCCCCACAACCCTGGAGGCCAAGGTTGATGACTTACGGTTTAAAGTGGAGCAGCTCCTCTTGAGCCCAGAGAGAAGTTGCCCCATGTGTGGGACCTGCGTTCAGCACAGCACACTGCAGGAGACCGTGACCAGCCAGCTGTCAGCTCAGACCAGATTGTTGGATTCTCTTGAAAAGAAAGTCTTGGAGATGAGAACAGCTCTGGAGGACCTGGCGCGTGGTACGGAGCCAGAATGCAGTGACAATCAGATATTTTAAACTGTCTTAAGGAGATAGTCCAACCAAAATTCTGAAAATTCTGTCATCATTTTTTACTCGCGTTGTTCCAAACTTTTTTTTTTCTCCTGCTGAGCACAAATATTTTGAAGAATGTTAACAACCAAACAGTATGGGTTCCTATTGACTTCCAAGTATTTTTTTGTCAAAGGGAACCAAAATTGTCTAGTTACCAACATTCTTCAAAATATCTCCTTTTGTGTTCCACGGGGAAAAAAAAAGGTGTCATACAGGTTTGGAACTAAGTTGGTGTCTAAACAATTTTCTATTCTGTCTCTTGAATATGAAAGGTCTGGAGGACAGTCAGTGTGAGAGAGTGTCTGTGCCATTAGTGGCTCTACAGAGACGGAAATCACTGCCTGTTCGAACCTCTGCGGTCAGTGGAAAGAAGGACATCAGCCAGAATTGCTTATAAATGGTTCCATTAACTCTTAAGACTATATTGCATTAATCAACATGGCATAAATCACATTTAAGGCCCATTAACACCAAGGACGATAACTGTATTTTTAAAAAATGTATGAGAATGGGAAAGTTCACACCACAACTATTCTGATAATGACACAGAAGGACAATATCATTTGAATTACTTTCAGAATGATTTTTTTCTCCAGCTGATGAATGAAAAAACATCGACAGCCAATCAGAATCCATTACATTTTAAATAGTTTGAGCATTTAAAGCAGCAAACAGCAAAACTGATGTACATACATATAATAAATAGAACATAATCATCCATTATTGTTGACAATAAAGTAGTAATTGTCACAATTATCGTTCTTCATCTGAACCCTTGACCATGTATTTTATACCTGTTTGTAAAAAAAATTTCCTCTATCGCTCTTTATTGACAGGAGGAAATCTATGTTCGCTTGGACAGAGACTGTATGGTGCCACATGCCTTTAATATGCCTTCGGAGAAAGGTAACTACAATAAAATGGAATTACACTACATATGTCATTTGGAACGGTGAAGTGGGGCAACAGTAGTCATTTTTGACGGACATAAATCTGAATGACGGGTCTGTTAGCATGTTAATTATGCACTGCAGAATGACAGGGAGACCCACAAATCACCTGACTAAAGAACCAACAGTAAATACAAGGTTATACAAAAAACAATGACTTTGGGGGATTAAAATATTTTCAAATATTTGCTATGAATGTTAGGTTTACAAATTGAAAGTATATATAGTGCAACTTACATTTATACATATTTATTGGGGATATTTCACACACAAAAAAGACTTAGACAGTTTCTTTTGTTTGTGCAGGTATTTTGCTAGAAATCAATGAAAACAACGGAACGAGAACAGAGGACCATCAACCGAAGAAAGATTCAACAGAGGTTAAAGTTCAACATGAACCTAAATTGCAGATCAAGGGAGAAAGAGGAACATCCACTGTAAGCCCAAGATCGGATCTATCTCAACATCAAACACAGAAAATGAATAAGGTTGAAAATAAGAACATGCCACCAAACGAGAATGATGTCCTGAAATCCGTCATTGCTGCATCAGTGGTGACCCAGAGGATTGTTATTGCTCCACCTAAGACGGAAGCCCAAGATGACAGGAAAACGTCAAAGCTAAACACCAAAGCACCTGTTCCTGTGACAACGACTGGGGTTTTGCCCAACACAACCGGACCGAAGCATACTGAAGCAGTGAATGTAACCCTACCAAATCATACCGTACCGAAAACAGCTGAACTGGTTGTTCCAGCAATGCCTCAATGTACAGCTCCATTGGTACCCAACAATCCTCCCAAGCTGACTTTACCAGATTCAACACCGACCCAAACATTTACCAAAACAAGTCTGGGTCTTCCTGTAGCAACTGTGCAGAGTTCTGGAAAGTCATCAGTAAATACACCTGCAACAAAAATGACAACATCACAAGATGCAACATTGTTACCACCAAGCCACAAACCACCAAAATCAATGGGTCTGAATGTTACTACAGCCACAAAAGAGGCTTTCGCGCTCAGACAAGTGCAGAGCTTCCCTAATTCCTTACAGAGGTAAAACAAGCAATTGATGCATTGTTTGTCTCCCAATTTAAACTGCAATTTATCACTACTGGAGCAGTGATTGAGTTGATTGAAGCAGAAAGTGACAAATGTCAGTGAATTAGATAAAATATACTGTTTTTGATCAAATAAATGCTGCCTCTGTGAGCATAAGTGATTTTAAAAAACATAAAAAGTTGCCCTTAACTTTTCAACATATATATATGTGTGTGTGTGTGTGTATATAGATTTATAAATAGCAATGTTTTTCATTTTATACAGATTACAGGTCACTGGTGGAAAGGCAGATTTGGTCCACACAATATCAACACCTCTGGCTAATAAAGGGACCGAAGCAGCCATAGCCGCAAACCATGTTTCAGGTGGAATACAGATTAAAATAACTCCAGCTACAGACAAGAATCCAGTACAAACGAAGAGCAATAACCCTCCTAAAACATGTTTTAAAGTTATTGGTAAGTTTTTTTTTTGTTTTTTTGTTCTATGTTCATAATAAAATAAAAACGAATTAAAAATAAAAAAAATATATAAATAATTTCGAAAGAAATCAAGTTCAAGTGTAATTGACAATTTCAGTAAATTGTTTTCAGAAGAGAATAAAATAACCACCGAATGACAGTGAGACACAGTGCTTGTGTGAATTTGTTTTCAAAGGTTAAAGAGGTGACAGGAGGCCTCTAGTATAGCCTGACCTTAGAAATCTGAAGTATCTAGAGTATGATAATCCTTTGTCTATGGCACATTATTGTATCATCCACTCTCCCGCAGCTGTTCCCACTCCAACCCAACATGAAGAGCATTATAGATCAGATATCAACACCATGAATGTCTCATAGTGATGGCTGACCCAAGATTCCCACTTGTCTGAAAAAGACTTGTAAAAAGTGTCCTCCTGGCTCTTTTCAGATGATGTTTCACCACAGCCCGCGCCTTTCAATCACCGGTTTGTGTCGCTGAAGTCTAACCCTCCACCCAGTGATACCTTCAGTATCCACACCAGAGAAGTGCTGGGAGGGTGAGATTATCATTGCTGCTTACTGTAACTGTTAGCATTTATTTCACTTGAATCAATTATTTATCATTTACAATTATTTATTTAGCACCTGTGACATTTTTACCACCGTATTAAATATCTGTATCATCAGTGGTCGCTTTGGCAAAGTGCACAAATGTACGGAGACTAAGACAGGGATGAGACTTGCTGCTAAAATCATCAACACAAGAAATGCCAGAGAAAGGGTAAGTAGATCAGATCTGTGTGCATGTGTAATACTTCACACATATAACTGCAAGCATCTGCACTTTAAATAGAAGTGCCATTAACATACATGTTGCTGTCAAACTAGTGCTCTGCTACCACAGTTTGTTTTTTTTACCAACATAACTGTACCATAATAAACTAGAGGTTATTTGAGACATACAAAACAAGTTGGATATTTACTACTGTGACAAAAATCTAGAGACACTATATGAGGCTATAAGAAACAATTAAACTATGAAAAATTCTTTTGACTATTTGGCAGCATGGCAGTTGTTTGTGTCATTTTTCCTTTTTATAGATGTTCAGATTATGGTTTAATTATGGTTGGATAGTTACACTACCGTTCAAAAGTCTTGGGTCGATAGATTTCTAAATGTTTTCAAAAGAAGTCTATTATGCTCACCAAGGCTCCATTAGTTGATCAAAAATATGGTGAAAAGAGTAATGTTGTGAAATATTATTACAATTTAAAATGTTTTCTATTTTTATGTTTAAAATGTATTCCTGTGATGGCAAAGCTTAATTTTCAACAGCCATTACTCCAGTCTTCAGTGTCACAAGAACAAAAGCGCTCACAAAACAGGGTCATGAAATGAATTTCTCAAAGTTGTTCCTGTTGTTTTGCAGGATATGGCTCTAAATGAGATCCAGGTCATGAACCAGCTAAGTCACCCCAACATCCTTCAACTTTATGAAGCCTTTGAGGTCAAGAATCAAGTTGTGCTGATCCTGGAGTAGTGAGTACAGCGAGATCCTTATGAAGCAATAAATCACAATTGGCTAAAGTGTAACATGGCAGATGAAATGACAGATCTTTTTTTATTCAGTGTGGAGGGAGGTGAGTTGTTCGAGAGAATTGTGGATGAGAGCTGTCCGCTGACTGAGGTGGATGCCATGGTGTTTGTGAAACAGATCTGTGAGGGTGTCCAGTACATGCACCAGATGTATGTACTTCACCTGGACCTCAAGGTGACAGATGAAACAAAAAAGGAGTCACTTTGTTCTGTCAGATTTAGGCTAGTGATTTTGTTCTTTTCTCAAGGGATTCAGTGAAATTATAATGGAAACTGGAATGTCAGAGGGAAATGTGTAACAGTTTATCACTTTTTTCAGCCGGAGAACATTCTTCTTGTGAATCGCTCTAGCCATCAGGTGAAAATTATTGACTTTGGACTAGCGAGGAGGTGGGATTTATACTTGTACACTACTATTGTACTTGTCCATGCATGATTATGTGTTCAAATTAAGATGAGTGTTGTCATCAGCCATTTTTGCTGGCATGACATTTGCCTTACATACTTTTCTAGTGACCACTGTGTATTTCTGAATGTGTTAATCCTCTGAGAGGTTTTTATGGTTCAAGTGACTCTTCTCTTTGTCCCTCTTCAGATATAAACCACGAGAGAAGCTCAAAGTTTCATTCGGAACGCCTGAATTTTTAGCTCCGGAGGTGGTGAACTTCGATTTCGTCTCCTTCCCTACAGATATGTGGACTTTGGGAGTTGTCACATACATGCTGTAAATCACATTAACACACACCAGAACATGTAATTCACAATTACATAATCATCTGAACAAATTTTTATAATTGAATTTAAAATTTGCTGTACCACTCCAAAAGATACATACGCAGGCCTTGATAACAAATGCAATTATACATATTTTTAATAAGTGATTTCATACATATTAGTTATTGGCTAACAGTTGTGATGTCCAGTGAAGGTACTGGGAGTGAATCCAAAAACATCAAACAAGGCAGCTAAACAGCATCCAGGGTCACTCGGTCAACTCAACTGCTTAGTCTAATTAAAGCAATACCAGTGTTATGGAGTATTCTGGGTCGCCTCCAAAACAGAAAAAGAAACTTGTGCAACCCTGTTTGCTTCATGTTAGATGTTGAACTGGAGAAACAATTAAAATCTCATTCGATTTCTGTTGTTCTAGCTTAAGTGGCCTCTCTCCTTTTCTGGGTGACGACGACAGCCAGACCCTCAACAATGTGCTTATGGGCAACTGGTAGGCCACTGTTATATCGATTCTATACACAACAGAACATGAACTAATTACAAACAAGCACTGAAACATCTATTTAGAAATCATAAAATCTACAAACAGCGCTAAAGAACGTTTTAAAAGTGAAATCTTTTGTAAAACAACGCCCCCTGTTGGATGAGTGTAGGTACTTTGATGAGGATGCATTTGAGCACGTGTCTGCTGAGGCTCGGGACTTCGTTTCCAACCTGCTGATCAGAGAAAGAAGGTGAGATTGAAAAATTCAAGAGACTAATACTAGTTTAATCTTAATATGATAATTTATCTAAAAATTATTTTGACACTCCAAAAACATGTAAAGGAATAGTTGACCCAAAAATGAAAATTTGCTTAAATTTTGACCTCAGGCCATCCAAGATGTAGATGAGTTTGTTTCTTCATCAGAACAGATTTGGAGAAATTTAGCATTTCATCACTTGCTCACCTCACCAATGGACCTTCTGCAGTGAATGGTTGCAGTCAGAATGAGAGTCTGAACAGTTGATAAAAACATCACAAAACTTCAGACCACTCTATATGAACCATTGGTGAGCTAAATTTGTATGTAATGCTACATTTCTCCAAATCTTTTCTTGAGGAAGAAACTCATCTACATCTTGGATGCACTAAAGTTTCAGCAAAATTTTGGGTCGGCTATTCCTTTAAAAAGGGGTCCTATTATGCTTTTTCACTTTTTCAACTTTAGTTAGTCTGTAATGTTGCTGTTTGTGCATAAAAAAAGATCTGCAAAGTTACAAAGCTCAAAGTCCAATTCAAAAGGAGATATTTTATTTAACAGAAATCACTTTTCAAAAACTACAACGAACAACTCGTTTGGACTACAA